CTAATTTTGAATTACGGAATATGTATGTGAGGTCGTCTTCCGTTATATAATGAAGTCTTTTTTAAGGGTAATTTCTTCAGCTGTATAAAGATACAAAATAGTTAGTTCATTATAAAAATGTTAAAACTAATTTAAAAAGTTGTTCCCTTATTTTACAACAAAAGAAAACAAGTGCCTCGACTAATAGGTACCCGTTACTTAGATAACCAACTTTAAAAACAAAAAATAACTTCTATTCTGATCAAGAATATATATACTTTATAGGGTCGGAAACTCTACGAGTAAAGGGTATAATCATCGTCGCAGTGTTTTTATCAAGTTAATTTTAAAGGAGAGAGATCGAGAGAGAGAGAGAGAGAGAGGGTTGGTCGTATTCTTTTGGTTAGAGTTTTGTCTCTCAGTCGTCTCTCCCAGTCGTGGACGACTGCGGGACGAATTTGAGGCACTGGTAAATTGAGGAACTGCAGTGCAAGTAGACAATCATTATCAAATATGTTTTGATAATCATTGTCAATAAAACGGTACTATGTATAGGTATTAATTACTTCTATTTTCTCACCAGTAAAGTATTGAAACAAGTGGGCGAAGCCCCAACTTTCTAGTAACTCTTTAAGTTGAACGTCAGACATGCTGCTCTCACCAACGCCGAACGATGACTAACCGGTCCGCCGGTTGTGTTGGTAAATTCAACCATTTGTGTGGTATACACATAGTTAGCGAACAACAACGAGAACGAAAAACGCAAATAGAAGTGACGTCAAACTTGTCGTTAAAGTAGGTATGCAGATATGTATGTACAGTATACAGTGTATATACGGATGTATGTACATGTCGCTATGGGCGTAGGCAATCGGAGGGGTCAGTTTTAAGGGCTAAATACCCATTTTCAGGTAGAATCCTATGCAAAATAGTTTGTCGCAAGCTCGATGCACAACATTGGTTTTGGAAAACCCTCTTTAACCAAATCGTGACTACGCCACTGCAGTTTTTTTACAAACTTCGGTTGAAAATGCGCAGTATAAAATACTTTGTGCCCAGTAGGTAAACTGTATTTACACTGGTGGCAAAAATAATAGAAACGTTTTGGTAGGGCTTGCTTTCTTCTCATTTACTACAACTAATGAAAGCTGATATAAATTTGATTATTACCGCAACACCAGCACCACAACTTAGCTCAAAGGTCACCAAAGGCAATGTTTTTATTAAAGCCTAAAATGTTATATACTAAATGGTATTTCTGTATAGGAATAGGTGTGTTCCAACAAATTTTTTACAGATGATATACATATATGGCACTTCCATATTGTCGCTCGGGACATTTGCACACCTTTAAAGTTGAAAAAAAAATTGGAAAAAAATTGTTTGCCGTTTTTTTTTATGCAGTTTCAACCACATTCGTTCGGGACATGTCGCTCGGGACATTTTTTCTTAACGTTTTGTAAAGTGTATTTCTTTACCTCTATCCATCAATTACTGGCTGTTTTGCATTATTATCTTAACAGTTTACCATGTAAATAAAGCATTTAGTATAGAATAATGTCACATGTTACCATTCCAAAAGGATAAATTAACAACTAAAAACAGCTAAAAATAATCAAACTATACTAAACAATTTTAGTTGAGCTCAGGATCAAACTATTTAGAAACTAATATCGGAGCAAAATCATGTGGAAATATGTTTTATTCAAGTTTCAAGATTTTTGTCTTGGTGGACATTTTGGTGGAAGTGCCCATAATATTTCGTACAAAGATAATTGTCTTATAATTTGTTATAAAAAATGCAACGTATTTTTTCAACATATAAAATATTATTTTATTCCTTTAACACTAATAGATAACCTTTTATACCCTTGTAGAGGGTATTATACTTCAGTCAGATGTTTGCAACGCAGTGAAGGAGACGTTTCCGACCACATAAAGTATATATATTCTTGATCAGAGCACCAATAGCCGAGTTCATCTAGCTCATGTCCGTCTGTCCGTCTGTCCGTCTGTCCGTCTGTCCGTCTGTCCGTTTCTATGCGAACTAGTCTCTCAGTTTTAAAGCTATCGCGATGAAACTTTCCCGAAGGTCTTCTTCTATTGCAGGTAGTACATATGTCGGAGCCAGCCGGATCGGACCAACTTGACCACCTTAAGGCTCCCAATCAAATATAAGAAAATTCATTGTAACTTTGTAGGAAGTAGGCGTTTTGATTCTTGACTACTTAAAAACAAAATTGAAATAAATCGAAACGCTGAATCTGGAATCCCTGGAACTGCACCGAGTGAGTATTCTTTTATCTACAAGGGTATATAAGCTTCGGCTGGCCGAAGGTAGCTTCCTTTCTTGTTTATAGTAATACTCGATTATTCTTCACCGAAAAATAATTTTGTTTTAATATTTTTTTTCAGTAATTTGGGAAATGTTTATAAAGAGCGTGGGCAATTGCAAGAAGCTTTAGACAACTATCGCAGAGCTGTCCGCCTAAAGCCTGACTTTATTGATGGATACATAAATTTGGCTGCAGCATTAGTAGCTGCGCGTGATATGGAGTCTGCTGTTCAAGCATATATTACAGCGTTACAATATAATCCGGTAAGCTTTCTCTTTAATATTGAAAATAACACTTTTTATAAATCTTTATGTAGGAACTGTATTGTGTGCGCAGCGATCTTGGAAATCTACTTAAAGCCCTTGGTCGTTTGGAAGAAGCCAAAGTATGTAAAAACCAGCCATCGTAAAATAGCACTCACTACTTATTTGGCCATGTTGATCATAAGAGCACAGCAGATCTCTAGTGAAGACTTTGAAAATACATATCACTGTATTTTTGATTTCGTAAACAGAAGCTTGGTAATTCATGTATTGCTAAGAGTAGATATTTCGTGGTCTGCGATTCTGCTCTTTTACGAAACCTGAGGGAAACCGCCAAATACCACAAAGAATAAATTAACTTAATCTTTATATTTTTTTGTAGGCATGTTACCTGAAGGCGATTGAAACGTGTCCTGGCTTCGCAGTTGCCTGGAGTAATGTAGGATGCGTGTTTAACGCTCAGGGAGAGATTTGGTTGGCAATACATCACTTTGAAAAAGCTGTAACTCTTGACCCCAACTTTTTGGACGCGTACATTAATTTGGGAAATGTTCTGAAGGAGGCGAGAATATTTGACAGGTAGGTAGTGTAATTTCAATCAGAAAATCGCAAACGACTCCACATTAAGGGCCGTTTTCTCGTCCGTACTTTAATTTGCCTGCCGGGACAACGGAGCGATAAACAAAAAATGGTTTACTCGTCCTTATGTTAGCAAAGGTTGCGACAAATTTTGTCTCGGTACTTCATCCACCGTGCAAAATTTGTGCGGTTGGATTGTGCGCAATTGTTGCCAGACATTTGAGCGTTGTCAATCTGGTTCCACTCTTCATTCGAAAACAGGTGATTCTATTTACAGTTAAATATAAATCAAAATTGCTAAGGTCATCCAATTTATTTTAAAACAAGAAAGGAAGCTAGCTTCGGCAAGCCGAAGCTTATATACCCTTGCAGATTATTCCTATTAATTTACAAATCGCAAAAATGTTAAATTTCCTATTATTTTACATTAATTTTCATCGTTTCTATGATATATGATATAGTAGTCCGATCTTTTTTAAAATTAAAATCGAAATCCGAAATATTTAAAATATTTAATTCG